GAGATTTTAAAGACACAGCGCCAAAATGTACAATCTCTGGTCCTTAATGAACACAGCAGATATTTGAGGTTGGTTTCAGGTTGATCAGTGACTTGAGGGGAAATAGGTCAACTAGAAGCAGACAGGCAGGGTGGAGTGGGGGTAGCAGAGAGGGGAGGCAGTTCTCAGCGACAGACTGCCATACAGTATATAGACTATTCATGAATAAGCTCTGTGTAAGCCTCGGGCACCGCTGTGGCCCTGTTACTATGGCATTCATGGTGAGGGACCAGGAATGCTGGCCGTACTAGGCAACAAGGAATGGAGAAGGAGGCAGGAGAGCGGTGGGGGTTTGGAAGAGGAGGCCCTTAAGTCTTCGACTACTTTAGTCACTGGTCACATCTCCAACTTTAGTCCAAGCACAGCCTCTGTCACTTTTCTCTTCTTCCATCCCTGTAAAGTTTCTCACGTCCTCTGTGCATCCCAAAAAGCCATCAATCCTCATCTCTTCCTCTGCCTCTCCTCCTCTGACCATGTCATCCTTTGTCTTTCATCACCAATCTCACACCTGACTGCCTTCACAGCACAGTTATCCCCTGCCAAATTTTCTACACACACACACACACACACAGACAGAATATATGCAAACATCCGTGTCTGTGACACTAGGTCCATACATGCTGGTTGGCCATCTGTTGCCCTTGTCAGCTGAGCGGATAAATCCCGTGCTGGTAACACAGTGACGCTAACCTGCTCACTTTACATAAGAACTATCTGTCTGAAAAACAAATCACCGCATCCTTGACCTCTTCTGCTTTTCTACCTTTCATGCAGCGTCAGATCTAGACAGAAAACAGCAGCGACACATCAGGGACGGCCTCTACACTTGGCCTTTGTCGACCAAGTGCTTCATCCATACCGGTGCCGCTGGGTTTGATGTTTGACGTTGGCAAATGTCAAAAAAAGGGAAGTGGGGACAGAAGAGAAGAAGAAAAAACGGCAATGACGTCAAACACCAACAGACGCTTGTCCCCTGAAAGCAGGTGAAAGGTAAAGCCAACACTGCCCTTTAAACACCACCCTCCTCACACACACACACACACACGCACACACACCAAAAGACACAATCCCCCACCATCATCACAGCATAAGCCAAGTATTATAATCAGCCACACCACCACCTCCCCCTCCTCTGTGTCCCATCTCACCAGAGCCTCCTGACCTACTTCCTGTCTGCAGCCCAGTCCAGCGGTCGACTGTACACAGTGTCATATGAATCAGTGAGTCTGTGACTTTGCGGTGAGACAAGGTGTATGTAGCAGAATGAGTCACAACAACATGAGGACACTGACAGGGGGTTGGTGAGGTGGGAGGAATGTAAAGGCAAAGCAGAAGAGAGATTCAGATAAGAGGCAGATGAAACGCTGAAGCTTTAATCTTGGTGTTCTCTAGACTTCTGCAGCAGAGTGTTTCACCTCAGGAGGGTGTGTTTTCACATTCAAATGTCATCGCATTAAACACAGGAGACGCAGGTCTGAGTAAGGAAGAAAACAATGTGAACACTGTACATCTGTCTAAATTGTTCCTCCTTTTTTAACCTTTCATTCAGCATCCACTGCTGTAAGGACCATCTCCATGTTCTCCATCACTACTACCATTAATATTCTCAAGCTTCCCTCCTTCAGCTCCTTCTCTGGTTTCTTCTCACAAACCATTTCAACATTCCTACTCAACTTATTTTCCAAAGTGTCCATGTGAGATGTTTTGTCCCCAATAAAAATCTAAATGTTTCCACATTTAGCTGCATCTCCCCTGGTTTTAGTTGCAATTCTGTCTGTGAATGAAACATCATAGCATATCTCACTACCAGCATTTTCTTACCTCTGCCTGCTTTAAATTGGCCACACTTTTGAGTGTGATCAGCACATTTCTAACTGGACATTGTTTCTTATTCTGTCCGTCCAGTCCCCAATAAAAATCTAAATTCTTCCACATTTAGCTGCATCTCCCCTGGTTTTAGTTGCAATTCTGTCTGTGAATGAAACATCATAGCATATCTCACTACCAGCATTTTCTTACCTCTGCCTGCTTTAAATTGGCCACACTTTTGAGTGTGATCAGCACATTTCTAACTGGACATTATTGCCAGAGGAAGCCTACATACAGCCTATTAAACAAAACCTTGCAATAGCTTTGTACTACATATGGGGTCCCAACCCCCAGTTTGGGAACCACTGTCATACAGAGACAAAAAACTTGCAAAAATAAAAAGACAAAGCATGAAAACGAACTGTGTTGAATGATGAACTACTAACACACAGCAGACTACTGGAATATCTCAGACTTTAACCATATTCTCCTGCAGCAGCAGTAGCTGCCGGTGAGACAGACATACAGACTCCCAGAGCTCAGACTCTTCCTCTTTCTTATTCCTCTTTGGTCACCATTGTCTGCCTCATTCTTCATGTTTTTCTCCCTTCTTTCTGTCTGATCAACAATTCTTGTCAGACAGCACACACAAAGAGTTGTTGTTGACACTTCCCTCCACTCCTGTGTGGATATTATTTCTCAGGCTGCCACAGCAGAGGGCAGAGACAAATAATAGTAAAAGACAGGCCAGCTGGTACACAGAGACATGGAGGTGTAGTATACAAACACAATTCTTTAAAATCAAGGTAGTAGACATGCAGGTCTGGCAGATGGAGGACAGAGAGAAGTGGATAGTCATGGACAGATAAAGGAAGAGACAGAAAGACACAAACAAGCTGAAGAGGACAGGTAGATTCAAGACGGGGCAGGTGTCAGCTGCTGCATCATTTGTGTGCATGTGTGTGGGTGTGTGTGTGTGTGTGTGTGAGAGAGAGAGAGAGAGAGAGAGAAAAAGAGAGAGAGATGGGTTCTGGTTTGCCAGCGCAGCAAACAGGACTAAAGATTCTGATGCAGCAAACATCCTCTGCATGTGTGTGCAATGCAAGCCAGTGACTATCAGCCTACACATTAGAAAAGACACACGCACACACTAATGCTCATTGAGGAGAAAACATGGTTATCCATGCATAAATAAAACCCTGCATATGAGTGTGTGTGTGAGTGCAGTTTGCAGCACACATTTAAAGAACAAAGGAATCTGCTAACACACACACACACATATATATACACACAGACCAACACAGAGAAGAAATAGGGACAGCACCCCACAAATCTGGAAGAATATTGGCTTCAAAAATTGAATTAAATCACAGTGTGTTTAAGTGTGTATTGAGGAAGGCTGGAGACTGAATGGAGTGTGGCGGAGGTGACAGCCTTGAAGGCAGATTGATCTGATCTGATCTGAGCTGCAGTCACTCTGTTAGGTACACCTACTCAAGCCAATGCATTTAGGGCATTTAGGAGAGAAAACAAACATTTTACTTTTTTTAACAACTGGAATTACCAGAAAAAAACATCTCTGTAGGCCAAACTGGAAAAACACGACAGAAGAGGAACAGTGAGACACTAGGAGGCTAAAATTTGCATAAATGTCTTAAAATCTGACAATTTGATCTATTTTTTTTTTATTTTGCAAATACAAATAGGATGTAAAATGTTCTAAGACAAATTAAATATATATATATATATACACTTATCTATCTATCTAAATATATATGTATATACACACACAACCTGCTACTTTACCTCCTCTAAAATCCACTTCCTTTCAAATGTTCTTTTAAGTCCAAATCAAAATCCTTTGCAAACCTTCAGTATTTAATACAGGGGTTTCGACAAATCAACAAAAAAAAAAACATTTTGACGTCTGCTCATACACTGATAGTGTAGTTTAAAGTGTAGTAAATCTGAACACATAAAATCATCGGTTCCTTGAACAGTATAATAACCCAGGTTAAAACAAAAACAAGGTGATACTGTAAGAGTTCAGCTCATCAGAATATGTTTTACACATTCTTGTGTGGATGGTGTAGTATTTATAGCATAAAGAAGTATCTTTAATCAAATCCTTTAATACACTGCATTCTGTTTCACAACCCAGAACTAGATGTGTAGCATTGTCTGGTGAGTACTGTACAGGCAGTGCATTAAAACAAAATGGACAATTCTCAACCCTCCTGTAGTGTAGTTACAGTGTTGTGGTTCTGTGGGGTTGTAGATGTATTGTAGATGATCCAAAATTAATAATATATTAATTAAAAAATAATATTAGTAATAAACCAACTCTTTGGAAGTTTCACCTTCTCAACATGGTCCCAAGTAATGATAAAACTGTTTTAGTGGCATAAAAACCAACCAATTTTGAACAAACATTTCAATAGCTCACTGAGTTTACGGTCTGCCTGGCTAGCTAAATTAGCGCTAAATTACATTCCTGCCCGTCTGTGTAGCTGTACACACAACCCCGTAAAAAAAACTCTAGTTAAATCTCATTTAAAAGTGTGGAAAACTGACAATCGAAAACAATCTCAACTCTGACAATATCAGGCTCCTCTGCTAGGCTAGGCTAATCCTGCTAACGTTCGTTTTGCGTTTTCTTTTGAGTTTCTGCGTCAATGAAGTTGCAATGCTGCCACCTACAGGGTTAGCATTTCCACGCATTGTATCGTTATTAAAAAATTACAACAACAAAATAAAATATGAGGTACAAAACAACACGGATGTAGAAGAACCAAACGCACCTCTTTATCCGGGTCAAAAGCTGAACAACCTTCACTTGACCACACACACACACATATACACCGGATACACAGTCAGTGCCTTCAATTAAACCAATGCTTCCAGGTGTCACTTTAAATAATAACTACACAGAAATGTGACATTTTGTCACACTGTGTTGGTCTCCTCCACATCCGCCTCCTGCAGCCTCACGTTGCCGGTGTTGCTATTCAAGGAGCACGTTCAGGTGCACGGACGGAGGAGGAAACGGAGGCTCAAAAGAGAGAAAAGGAGGAGAGCATTTCACCTAAACACCCTTATCACCACCACCACCACCACCATCATCATCATCATCAGGATGTTCTCCGGCTTACCCTCAGAGCGGACAGGTCGATCTCGTCCAGACTCCGAGCGGGAGAGTCACTCGCCATCAGGGAGCAGCAGGAGCAGGAGGAGCAGCAGGAGCAGCAGGAGCAGGAGGAGCAGGAGGAGCAGGTCTTCTCCTCTCACTTGCTCTATATCCTGAAACGGCCTCAGCTGTCACGACTGTGTGCGCGCTCGCGCTTCCTCCTTATGTCTCTCTCCTTCTCTTTCTTGCCCTCCACACTGGAGCCTCCGTCAGCAGGAGAGCCGTCGATACTAAGACTACTAATAATAATAATAATAACACCACCTGCTCCTCCTTTCCTCCTCTCTCCCCCTTATCTATCTGCCTGTGTAAAGCGTCAGTGCCGGCTTTTACGCACAGCAGCAGCTGAGATATAGAGCCACCAGGTCCATCATCTTCAGTGGCTGCAGCAGGTCCAGGTCCAGGTTTCTAAGTCCAGGTCAAGGTCTAGATCCAGGTCCATGTCTGCGCTTATGTTTATAGTTTTAAACAGAGTAGTGGAAGTAGGAGGAGAAGAGAGGGGTTTCCTCCTGCTGCTGTGACAGCCAGTGAATACTGTTACAGGAGGAGAGAGAGGTGGAGAGAGGGAGGAGAGAGGGAGGGGAGAGAGCAGCGGGTCAGCGGATCACGCCCCGGACTGGGCGGGGTTTAACGAGGAAGTGCATGGACCTTACAAACTTTCCGTCTTTCTTTCTTTTTTCTTTCATGAGTTCTTTCTTTCATTCGTTATTTCACTCTTCCCACCCTTTGCTCCACTATCTCTCCGTCCTTCTTACCTGCAAATATTGCGTGTTTCTTTTAATACGCTAACGGTAAAATGGACAGATTATCTGTAATTACCGTAATAATTTAAGTGCGCTCTTATCATAGGCCAAAAAACAATCGATGCAGCGAATTATTGCCAAATAGGAACGCTCAGACGTATGTTCAAATCCAAAGTTATTTTGTTAATCCTCCTGGGAAGATTGATATTTTGTTTAAAAGGACTTCAACAGAAAATATGAAAAAACTAAACCATTATCTTATGTCTTGGTTGTTTGTTTGGAGAACTCTAATAGTTGTATGGGAGAACGTGACTACTCCATTCAAGAGACCATCAGTTACCACAGGGATCAAACCGCTGACCTTCTTGCTGTAAGGCAAAAATACTAACCACTGTGAAAGCTGGAGTTTTCTTCAGATCATATTTATTTCCTAGTGCAGTTACACTGTTGTGAATGTGCAGATGGGATTTTTTTCTTAAAATAAAAAAACAACGGTGTTTTGCACAAACAGAGTGAAGATGTCTAAGCTCTGATGATTGCAGTATTGAATCAGATTTCAGCACTAGCACACAAAACCAAGCCATGCACCCGTGACCCAAAAAGCCATAGGACACATTACATAAATACCATATTATTGTACAAAGATAATGCAAACTGTTTTGTAGAAATCATAATAACTTCTTTTATATTATCACTTCATGTCCTGGTCCCTTAAAATAAAATATGAAACTTCTGTTACGACTGACACAATGACCCAACAGCATTTCCAGTATCTGCTAATATCATTTTAAAACTGGAGTAACCAGGAGGGACGTGCTTATTTCACATTACAGGAAGGGGCTGTGATGCACGAAGTCCCTCTGAAGGAAGAAATCAAAACAAATCAGTAAAGACATTCACATAAAGTATATAAAATATATTTTCAAAAGTCACAGAAACGTTTCGAAAGACTGGATTCAAAAACACTTTAACAAAAGACTAAATAACGACGAAAAGATCTAGAAGTCTCCCATCATACCGTACTCCTCTACAGGTGTCTTTAAGGCGACTAGCACCATCTGCTGTGCAAAGGCGGAATTGCAATATTGAGTTTGCGCCGTGAGATTGTCCGAAAACAGGCACTAACTAAATAAAGTATTGTTGTTGTTTTGTTTTGTTTTTTATTATTAAATTACAGCTCAATTATTAGTATATTTTATGCATTATTTTGAATTTTGGGATTCAGAAGTTAGTATTTTGTCTAAAATATAACTCTTCAGCCACACCTGTTTCTTAGTGTTTTACTCATTAGACTAATATGGAGAGCTATTTAGCAGTATTTTTTGGAGGGGGTATCATTAATCTAAAACAGCACTGCAGCATTACACTAAGCAATATGCTCATGTGACCATAACAACTGCCAGAATAAATTATAACTGACCAAAAATACCCACAATTCGCCACAAAGATCACATAAAAACTAGTTACTTTTACAACGATGAAGTGTTTCCAGTGGACTGTAATATAAGAATTGGAATATTTTAAATGAGAGGATAGAAAACTAAGCTGCAGGAATATCTGAGGTTTGTATTAAGGTTTATATTTGCAAAGTTGTCATCAGCAGCAGTCTTAACAAAAGAGCATAGACAAATCTGATGTGGTGAAAAGTAAAAGTTAGTTAGTTGTTGGTTTGAATCTCTGTCAGTGTGTCACAAAGAGAGAAAAAAATTCCCATCACTGACTTCTCTGCAACCTTCAGCAAAGTGTGTGGCAGGCTCACACACTGGTTCAGAGCTGCATTTTGGATTGTAAAAGAGTTCATTTGTTTTGTTAAAAATGGGATTTTCTAAATGATTTACATTTTCACAAGTTGAACTATAACAGTCTGGCTTGTAGTCTGGTTGACGACCAATAATTAACACTCACCAAATATCCAATATCTTAGTTTAAAAATCATCTTTTTGGTACACGATGGCTGCTGTTTAAATGTTTCACCATAGCTAAAAACCACCAAGCAGTAAAAGTGAAGAAACATCACTGACACCAGTGCATATACAGTGAATTGCACTTTAACGCATCGCACAGGCTGATTTTACAAACTCACCTGCTTCACACAAAAGAGTCTCATCTCTTTTGTTATTTCTTTAACCAGAAGGAGTCTCGTCTCTTTTGTTATTTCTTTAACCAGAAGCTAGCTATTGTTGGTTTAAGAAGCTGTGATGTTGTCTTAGATTTTCTTACTTTCTCACCTGGTCCCTGGAAAAATTCCAAAACTTTTTCCAACAGTGTCCAGAGGGAAGCTTGTTTCCCAACATCCTAAAGTTCATGTGCCTGTTTTTAATGATGACTGGTGTCTGAGTGCAGTCAGACAGGAGATCATACACCAAACATTTGTCGTTGCTTTCTCCTTCATACAACCCCACGTTTTAGTGCTTGGCCTCTGACTCTTTGACCGCTGATGAAAGAGTTTGGAAAAAAAGAAAGATCCAGTCCAGCAGAGCTGTGAACCTTCTCTGTCATCTCATCTTTAAATTAGTGAATGAAATTTACTGCAAATTCACTGCAGTTGTTTTTTTTTTATCCCAGGCAGTGGTTTTATCCATCCTTAAGTCCAGATCTCAGTAGGAACCATGGCCTCCTTGCTTCCCACAGAGGGCATGAGGTTGTGCTCCGACAGAAAGTCCAGAGGAAACTGGACCAAAAAGCCTCGGATTTTACGCAGCTCCTCCTGAGCCCGGGTCAGGTCGGTCTGAGCCAGCCCTGGTATGGACTGGAACTGCTCCAGCTCTGACATGTTCCTAACCAGAGATGAAGGAAGGCAGCGGAAAACCTGTAGCACAAACACACAAAGGAGGCTATATTACAAGCTAGCTTTTAGCCATAGAAAATAAGCTACTTTAAGATGTTCTGTAGCAGATTTTAATCTAAGCTGTAGTCGTGATCAATAACTTAGTTATTTAAGTTATTTAAAGCTTTTATGCTAATATTATGTCTCTCCTTGGTGATTCAATTCATCTATCGAGTAACATTCTGATCTTTTGGCTGAGTTTTAACCAGAGTTGCTGCTAATCATTAGCATTGCAGTCTTCAAAACATTTTAAGCACTTTGTTTTTAAGTTTATTTATAAATTAGTCTATTTTTTCTTCTTTTACCTAGATCATCTATCTTTCAGCTGACTTTAAGTTCTCATACCTTCTCATAGATGGTAGCATTTCGTCCAGCTGTGGTCATCCACACGTCCTTATAAAAGCGGTCACTGACGGGGTCAGACAGGTCAATGCTGCTGTCAGTGTGAGCTCCAAGGATGGTCCTGATCAGAGGCAAGAAAGCGAACAGGTTACAGATATTTCCTCAGCTGTTTGTGCCACTTGTCGGAATTCTTTACAAAAATCTAAGCTCAAGCCTTGTTATGTCACATGAACACACTTGAAACATTCCAGACGCAGCTGTAGAGCATACGGTCCAGCTTCATACTCTTGGCCGTCCATCATAGAAGCCACTTTCTGAGAGTCCTGAACGATCACTGCTACCTCGCTGTCACGTTTACCCAGCATGCTCCTGTCGTTGATGTTGGCAGAACCTGAGGGAAATATAAAATTGATGAGTTGCTTCTGAGGAATATATAGTTTGCATTTTTTATGGTTGTTTGATACAGTATTTAAAAAAAAAATCATATAAAGACGTGGAAAACAACAACATCTTTCGCCAACTTGTCAATGTCACTGGTTGGCAGTGACAGTGATGCCGGTTCCGGATCCTGTGAGCGTTGGTTCGATTCCCGAACCCTGCGAAAATTCAACTTCCGGAGGCAGTGGTGGCCTAGTGGGGAGGCAGTGGTGGCCTAGTGGTAAAGGAAGCGTGAACTTAAATCATTTGCTCGGATGAGATGCACCTCCTCTGCCAGCAGGTGACACAAGTGAGCTGCCTGACTATCACTTGACACCGATTCAAAACCTTTTTATGTGATAAGTGAGATAAACAAATGTCGTGACTCCACGACATTTTAGAAAGTGTTAACAACAGATGGAAGAGTGAAAATGCAGTGGCAGGCCGACCGATGATCACTGTGTTGTCGTCGGCGATGAGCATCTTGCTGTGGACGTAGATGAGCTCCGTGACCAGACGTCCCTCCATCTCAGCGTGGGTCCTCAGACCAGCGAAGGAGACGTAGTTCATCCACTGCTCGTCCACTGACAAAGAGAGGGGAGAGTGAGGGCTGATGTGACACTAATGCTAACTCTTAGTAGTAACTCAGTAACTTACTCTCTCTTTTCAGCTGGGATATAATGGAGTACTCTCCTCGGATCATAGTCCTGAGGAGACAGAGAGGAGACGTTAAGACTCGCCGAATTACCTCGTTTCCATATTAAAATGCTGCTGTTTTTAATAGGACGTTTGTTCCACCTGTAGTTAAAGTGCATGACGGCCTGAATGGCGTTTCCTCCTCCTGTAGTGATGTCACCCTCAAAGCCAGGAAGCAGCGGAGTGACGACGTAAACCCGGTACTTTTTACCCTCCCTGCGTGAACACACGTCCGTGTCAGTCACATGGTCCGCTTTCATAAATGTTTAACAAAATTACTGGATATAACATGACGCAGGTTAACACAGCAGCTAGTTCGTACTTGTGTGCTCGGATGATTCTTTCAATGATGGCGTCTCCTATCTTGTTGAACACTGTCCTGTTGTCAGCGCAGCTGATGAAGAACTGGTTCTGGAAATAGAGACATTAAACTGTTAGTGGTAAGCTGTGATTTTCCACAGCGTCGACGGAAAACAAGAAGCACGAAATAGGAATAAATAAACTTATGCTGTTAAAATAACTAATGTAGTGTTCATATTGTTCCTCTAAAGAACGGTCAACTTTAAACTAAGACAAATTTATACAAACATTTATGCCTGTAGCATGTAAATATCGAATACCAGATAGGACTTGGAATACTGTAAAATATAAATACAGCTTCTCAGACAAATATCAGAAAACATACTGTTTATCCGATAACTATTGGATAATATTGTAAAATTATCACAGTGTCATAAATACTCTGTCTTTATCAAAAAGGATAAGAATATTTGTGAAGCTAATTATCAGAAAACTTTTTACATACTGTAAAATGTAAATAACCATACATTATAGCAGTCATTCCATGAATTTTAGCTAGTTTATGTGTTGTTTTGCGGTATGTTTTGCTAACTTTTAGCTGTACTTATTTCTGTTACACAGAGTTGAGTTTATCCTTAATAATTTATGACCTTATTAGATACCATTTAAAAATATATATATTTATTGGGTTTTTACTTCTTCTATTCTTTTGTCAAATATACATGGTGGAGCCTTCTTGATTTCTGGTGTAACTTATTTAACATGTTGATGACCTTTAGCTATTTGACGATTATTTAAATCTGGGCAAACAGCGCTAAGCAAAAGTCATCTTTAATGTTTGCACACTGCTGAGACAAACACACAAGATGAAATATTTACTGACTGAATAAAATAAAAACTCTTCCATACTTGATTTATTGTTTACCTTTACATCCAGGGCCTCACAGTTTTCTTACCTCGATGTAGATGTAGTGTTTGCTCTTGGCGATAACCTGGATGTAGGCCGTGTGGATGGACTCTTCGTGGTACTTGATACCTGCAGACCAGTCTGAGGCTGAGCGCAGCACCTACCATATAGGAGTTACTGTGTAAGACTCTAACAGCAGTATTGTACTATGCTTGTGCTGAAAGATATGTACTAGAACCCCCTTATTTATACTCTGTAGGGATATTGATTTTTCTCTGTGAGAATACATCTTCCGGACTGTAATTACGGGGCAATAAACAGAAATAAAAAACGAAAGAAAGGACAAACGTCAGCCCGAGCGCCGAGTGTGGCACTCGGACAGGTTTATGTAGCACTTGACAGCCACCTTTCCAAAAACTTTCAGTCAAAGCCCTGCAGCACATTCAAACAGAATTAATAAAACATTCCAGCCACCACAGTACTCTCTCTTTACTGAAGTCTAATGAGTGAAACAAGTTCACAACCAACATCTATAGAACCAGGGTCTTAGTTTTGAGGAATGACAAATTCCAACCCTTTGGTGCTGCATGAGCTAAAATTCACAGCTGGTGTGGGATTATAGAAACATCTGAAGTCATTACATTTCAAAAACTTTATATTACAGTTAGAATCTGCTGCAGAAAAAGTTAGTGAACCACTGATCTGAAGTAGCACTATTGATGCAAGAAAAAAAAAACCAATAACATTAGAGACATTGTCGTGAAAAATACTCTACTGTACTGTATTCTTAGCCTCTGTTTAAGGAAGGTGAGAAAAAAATATTATTAATATTGATTACATTGTTTTGAGTACGCTTATGCTTTGTCTCTGCAGACCACCTTTTTACTAAGACATTGAATGCATCACTGACTTTATTATAAGCTAGTTAGATTTTCAGGTCACCAATTTAGGCATCTGAAATTTAGGTCATGATGCCTTTTAATTTCTTTATTCCACAAACGTTTTGTTTAAGGATGTCCGATAATAATGGTCGACTAAATTAACAGCGCAATATTAGCATAATTATAATATCGGTAGGAATCGTTATCTGTGTTTCCTCCGATAATGAAAACCTGATAGCCACATGCCTGGGTTTTGCCAAATATGCTGGAATCTCTTGTAGGGTCCTGAGACATTAACCTCTGTTTTGGGGGCAATCTGCTGCATATATCGTTATTGGTTTATATCGGAATCGGAAGTGAAGTGTTTGGACAATATTGACATAACGGATATCGGCAAAAAGCTAATATCGGACATCCCTAGATTTGTTTCTTTACCAGACCAAAAAAGTTTAAAATTGAATGTACTACTTTACTTATGTAAGTTTTTGGCCCGCTGAGGGTTTGTATAATAGTCAATCTGTTTCTTCTCCGTCCAGCAGTGCTCACAGACTGGGATGCAGGGAATAGAGTGGGAGTTTATGGAAGCTCTACGTGTTCTTCTCCCTTCTCTGTAATTTTCTACTTCGGCTTTTTTGAAAGTGGGGGGTTGGGCCGTGGTTTGGCTCCTGCTCTGCAGAAAGCCGACCCGTTCTAGCATATTTACATTATATGTGGTAATCATTTTTTTCTCAAGTGTACTTGGCGTGTCCACTTACTTGTACTTTGGCATCCACACTGTCAGGGACCTGGTATCTGAGCTCGTTGGCAGTGGAGTGGGATTTGGGCAGCAGGAAGGGATAAGACAGAGAGCGATACTTTGGCTTCATGATCTGCAGGAGAGTGGGAGCAGAGGGAGGGTAGAAACTGAGTCTGACTGAAGAGAAACCATAAAAACAGGGTCATTTTGTGAGTTGGTGCTGTGAGAAGATTTTTTCCACAAAACTCTCCCTTTACCATAATTATAGCAGTTAAGTTTTTTTTCTTCTTTTTATTCATTTATGCCAGGTTCCTTGTGAGTGCAGCATGGGTTAGATGAGTGGTCTCAAACCGCATGACTGGGGACCACTTGCAGTCCACAAGGTTGTCACATCTGGCCTGTGACAATAGATATCAATAATAATTTGCCCTTTGAGGTGTTTTTTTTTTTAAATTCTTTAAAATATTGTAATGGCTATAGTGTTGTGTAAGTTATGATGGACATCAGTTTAAAAGGAAACAAAATGTAGTTAATCTTTAGTCAATATCTATACAAAAAAAATATTATCCACTCATGACTTGTTTTGAAAATGAGCAGCAGTCAAAGTATATAAACTTTTGGTGCCTTAGTAAAGTTCCACCGCTGAATGAAGTGTCTGGCCACATCTCTGGCACCTCGACCATGAACCACTGAGGCGATGTCGTGCCAAGGCATTCTGGGAGTGGTGTATCTGTTAATGAAGTCTGCAGGGAGAGGAAGAAAAGCAGGAAAAAAAAGAAAAGGGGTGGAAATTGGAGAAAGAGGGCAATAACAGGAAAGAGAGGGTGTTAGTCTGGTGACAATGCTGAGCAAATATGTGTACAGTTCTGTAGAAGAAGCGTTTGATTATCCAGATGTTTTTACTTTACTATGGTGCAGGAATTAGAAATATTCCCAGATGAAAGTGTTCCACTCTGTGTATGTACTGTACCGTCAAATGGTTTTTCCAGCTGGATCCAGTCTTTGTACACAAAGTTGCAGTAGTCTTTTCCGTGCCAGAACCGCGTGTTTCCCTGTAATTCTCCAACACCTGTCTTCAGACTTTTGACTGAACCACTCCCTGAAAACACACATATAAAAACATGATGGTGAATTGACTTCTTTCAACAACCACACTGATTTTATATCAACAATGTGGCATAGATTTAGCTAACTTCAGACACCACATGCTGCTAACTAGCTTAATTTTTAAGGTTTAGGTCCTTAAACCTGGTTAAGGTCTAAAAAGCTAACTTTCCAAAATGTTTTATTTAGCCATCTGCATTTTAGCTACACTACCAGAGTAAATAAGTTAAAGCTAGCTAAATTAGCCATCTGTTATGTTATTGATTAGTTAGCTGAGCTGATAGTTCATCATCATAAGATATCGACAAATATATTTGCTAAACATTAAGAACATGTTTGCAAATATTTCCAATCTATTTTGGTTATAGGTTATAAATAGTTAAGTTAGCTATCTACTGATTAAGCAGACACTCAAGCTCAGGCGTGGGCAAACCTTTTGACTCACATGCCATTAAGCTTTAAGCCTTTTCTACGCCATCTATTGGAGAGAATTGGGCATTGCAGGGAAAAGGCAGAATAATATAATGATAATAGAAAATAATAACATCATTTGGACAAGTTTGTCGAGCTGGATTAAAAAACCAGGCCACATCCGGCTAAAGTTTTGCAAAAACAAAAGTATTTTACCTGGTAAAGTTGGGTTTTTTTTTTATATTTAATGGTATTTATATATTGAATTATATGTTGCTAAGCAACATATTGTAGAGAAATGTGCAGTTTTCTGTCACCTTTCATCGAAGTTCAGGCTCTATAAAAACCTGAGGCACTAATTCCTGACATGGACGTACCAGCACTGTCCACACTGCTGACACTGTCTGCGTGCTGCACCGCGTGTTTATGCAGGTGTCTGTACAGACTGAAGCGAGCAATCCTGTGCCGTCCAATCCCCTTCAATTTGGGCAAATTCACAGGATCACTGGGCAGAGACGGTGAAGGTGGAGGGGGCGTCACCGTTCTCTGTCCGTTGCTCTGGGGGGCGATGTCAGCAGATGGCACGGCCTTTGTGGAGGGGGTGTTGGTGGAACCAGCCTGAGGAAATAACAAAGTAATAAATAAGACAGCACAGTTCTGGTTTTTATGAAAGGTTATATCTCACACTTAACTATTAGATAGTAGATGGACTTGTGTCAGGAACATTAAATTTAAACTGAAGATTTGTTTATATTATGACTCAATACAGAGAGAATTTGAACTTTATATGGTCTGTTTTTTATTTGAAGACGCTAACGCATGCCCAGTAATAACTAAAGCTTAAAAAAACGATTTCAACATTAACGTCAAATAAAGCTCTAGTCAAAACTACACAAAATAAAGCTTAAAAAAAAGATTTCAACATTAACGTCAAATAAAGCTAAATGGTAGCATAGTACTAGCTAAATCTAGCCAAAAATACACCCAAAACAATTAACCCAGAAGTAGCTAAAGCTAGTCAAAAAGCAGATTAGCTTTAGCTAAATGAAAGGTGGAAACCAACAAAAACACACACCAAATAAAGCTAAAAGCAAGTTGAGAGAGTAAGTAGTCAACACTGGATAAAAACTGTATCTTCATATCCAAATATTGTTTTACATTTGGATTGTAAATAGAATGGTAAAAATAGTGAAAATAGTATAAATTTACACACAAATTCCTGTCCTGTCTACGACCCAATGATTAACCACAGAGCCAGACTTTGACCACGGCTTACTCGGGGTACTTTAACTGATTGTATTAAGAAAAAAAAGAAAAAAAAGTGAGTCATGTGAGCTCCTCACCTGCTCCATGGCCAAAGAGCGCGTCACACTGCCAACGTCGGTGAGCCTGTGCTCCCTGTCATCCCAGCGACCATACGCAAGGTCAATCCCGCCCACGAATGCCACAGACTGGTCGATGACAATGATCTTTTCATGATGTGCCCACAGGTAGACGGAGGAGGAGACGTGGTCTGGATGACGCATCACCTAAAAGCAGAACGATCCTCATTAAGATAAATCAAACACTTCTCTGCAGTAGGGTTGCATCGCCTCATTATTTACCTTAATGTTTGGGTGCAGGTGCATTAATGTCCGTTTGCTGTAGCCCGAGTTGATGCCCAGAGCCAACTCCACCTCCTTGTACAACATCACAAAGATCCGGACTCCCTGTTGCTGGAGGCAGAAAAGTTCATACAGGTTTAGGCATTGAAAACACACCATAGGGAGAAGAACTATTACAGTTATATGCAAATAACATACTGTAGTCACTTACTAGACTGTACCACTGCACATATTTGTCTTAGCACGAGATGTTTGTCAACATGTTTAATAGCGTCTGTCTAAAAACCTTTTGATTTGTACGTATGTTGAATATATTGCATTCCACATTTTACGGGAATGGCTAGGGTTGTGTGTCCTTCTCTAAGGTCATCATGGAGGTCACAGTCTAGAGTCAGACTTACTGCCTTGCGCTTGAGGATACAGTCCAGTCTCCACCTGTTTCCCTCCACCACTGGTCTCTTTAAGAAGATCTCTGGACTCAGCCTGAGTGGTTAAAAAAATACAAACAAACAAATAAATTAAATTAATATACAGCAGACCGTGTAAATGTATATTTTAGCTTTGGCTAATACATAGGCATTTCTGACCTCAGTACTACTCAATAGGCTGTTTTTGTGTATTATTTTCTATTATGGTAAACTGTTACAAACTCCTGGGTAAACTTCTGGGCTCTCACAACTGCAGTCTCATCAAGACATGCAAAACTGCAAATCAGGAAATATTTGCAGTCTGTAGCAATCGCCATTTTTGCTAACTTAGGTAACTGTCATTATTCTTAGAAAAACTCTCTTTTTAATGTTGCAACATTTTTGCAATTTTTAACCTAAAGCCACATTTTATTTGTGTTTAGGGGTGTTTACTTTGTTCCACCTAATGTAATTTTCATTATCTTGTGTGTGATGTTTATTTGTTTTGGTGACTTTGAAACTGTTCGAAACAACATTATCATATTGCTCTATTATATTGTTATATGTGATACTATAACATTACATTACTTCCGGACCCACCCAACAATCACGTTACTCTGTGATTATACTAACAGTGCTTTGAAGAGTCTCTTAATTACAAAAAAAAATGAGGTTGATTTTTTAAAAATATCTTTTTTTCACCTATATTTTTAGATTATTGTCTTTTGACACTAACTTATAGCAAACACAAACATTGTGTAAACTGTCGTATAAACATCAGGCGTGACATAATGAGACTCTGTAATGAGTCGGTCACGACGGCACCCTGAGCCATACACGTTTACTGTGCTGCCTGAATTATACAGCCTGACACATCATTGGATTAGATTAAATGCAAATCACAACAGCAGAAATAAAAGAGATTAAATGGAAAAGATGAAAGTGATTATTTCACATCAGAAAACCCAATTGGAAATTAGAGAAGACAAGTACAATTTAATTTAGAACAGGAAATGATTCTGGGATTTGATTTTGTTGATTGACTTAATATTGGATATTGCACGTTGTGTGAGGAGATTATTTTCCCTGGGACTCTGATGATTTGATTACACTGTGAATAAGAATCTTTTCTTCAGTCAAAATTAAATTCAACTTTGTTGTTGTGAAGGAAAAGTTATAATTTGAGTTTGTTGGTTGGTCGACATAAAAGGAACATCAACAACACCTTTAAATAGGTAGAAAAGAGAAAAGAGATAATATTGGCAAATAAAATATATATATGACACATTCAATTTAAAGGTAAAGTTTAGCAGTTTAAACAAAGCCAACAGGTAGCTCTAAATAATCATTTTTTTAAAAATCACTAAATAAAGAGCAAAAACAATATGAACCTAGTGATATTTTTTCACACACATTTCTTAAATGTAGGTAATCAGTATATCCAAATGAGCAAACTGAAGGATAAATATAACAAGGGCAGTGGTGGCTCAGTGGTTAAGGAAGTGGACTTGGGTTCGAAAGGCGACTTCGAGTCCACTAGTTGCCAAGTTCCCTGAGCATGGCACCGTCCCCACACACTGCTGCCCACTGGGTGGTCACACTTGGTTGTGTGTGCTGTGTCACAATGACAAATAATTCAC